GGGGGGGGTAGCCGGATCTGGAATGGGACACCCAGGGTCTGGGAGGAGAACAAAGTTTGTTGGCCTGTGAACAACTTGAAAGTGACGTCTCGGCAGTCTTTCCCATTGGTTTTCGGTCGAGAACCAGGGGCACCACTGGAGGATATTGCTGCCATCCAGGAAGCAGAGTCTTTTGTTTTTGTCAGTCCATGTTTCCAAGAATTCCTGAATGTGGTGTTTTTTCTTCCCTGGATCCAGTTCAGTTTGCAGCATGGACCGTAGTTCTTTCCATGCCTCTTCCGTCTTTGTCGTGATTGTGTCGATCACCGAGGCTCTGGCTTGCATGAATCCAAAATTTCCAAATGTGCGTTGCTTCCTCTTGTGGGCACAACTCATTCTCCACGCCGCCACCAAAACTGTGAGCCTGGTATATGTGAAGAGGTTGATCATGAAGGGGGACCATTGGGTCTCTTGTGGCAGGGGTTCTCCGAGCAAGAGGGTGGCCAGGTTCCCTGGGAGATGTGTCCTTGTGAGATGGTGCCAAGCTGCATCCCACCAACTCCAAAGTTGAACCACCATTGAACAGTCCAATAAACAGTGTTCCAGGGTGGCTGTTTTCTTTGGGAAAGCTTGTGTGCAGTATGAGCACAAGGGGGACAATTCTCCCTTCTCTTCTAGATCCGTCCTTGCTGTTATCCAGTCTGGTGTGGGTAGACATCTGTGTATGATTTGCCATTGTTGGGCTCTATGGTTGGTTGGATTAATATGTGAGTCGGCTGACCATCGGAAGTTTTGAAAGTCCTGTTTTTCCATGGGGGAGTCTCTTTCCCATCGTTTGATGATGTTATCCATGACCGGTCGGTGTTTGCGTGCCGCTTTATATCCTTTCTTTACTGTATATTGCCATGGGGACATTGCGCATGAATTTCCCCATGTCCATTCCCACTCAGCAGGGTCGAAAGGTAGCAGGTGGAGAGGGACAGTAGGTTCGTATAAGAACACGCCTTCCCTCATGTCCCCTACCACCCTGACTCTGACGAGAGAAGATATAGGCCGTTGTGTATCCTGGTCCTCTTGTCTATGCAGCTGGGACCATCTTTCTCCCGGTAGGGCAGGATTATATGCCTCTAGTCTGACTTCGTTGTCCCCGGGTCAAGTGTGTTGTACTTTGTACACAGTCATGGGAATGTGTATAGAGTCCAGCTGGATGACCCAATCACCGCTTTTGAGTTTCGGGCCCTTTTTCAGGGCCAGCAACCATTGCAGAGGTATGGCTTCCTGCAACTCAGCCAAATCCTGGTCTATGTTTCTAATCGGGCCTGTATTTATTTGCAATATTTCTTTCGTTGTCCATCTCTTGGTCCTGTTGTCGCATAGGTCCCCAACCTTATAGATCCCTTTTTTAACCCACTGTCTCCACTTGGATCTTCTTTGGAGTGAGAAGGGAGAGTTTGATGAGTCGTTTATTTGGGGGTGACCAAACAGCGGTTGACGCCATATCTCCTCCCATCTAGCTGGGTATCTGATGCGGTCCCCTTTCCCTCCAGAGTTGAGCATTGTTTGCCATAGCGGGTCTATCCGGAGGTCTTGTCTGGCCCTGCCCGCTGGCGAGTCGTGTGTGGCCGCAATCGGTGTTGAAGGGATAATCCAATGGTTATTCGTTAACCATTGGAGCGGGTGAACCACATGGTCGGGGTGGGAGGGGGGTGCCTGACAACCCAACTGTATCAACGCGAAGGGGGCCCATGGGATGTTGTTGCCTAAAAGAAGGCGGATGAGGAATTTGAAGATCAAAGCTTTTATATCTTCTTCTGGGTCGATAATACCCAGCCCCCCTTTAGATCTGGGTTGGACCAAGATGTCACAGGCGACTCTTTTTATGGCCCGAGTGTCATCGTGATTGCTTTTCCAGAGATAGGTGGTTGTCAATTGCCTTAGTTTACATAATTGCTTTCGGTTGAGCGGCCAAAAAGCGACCTTGTACCATAAAGACGGGGAAATGGCGTTGTTGATGGCCAACACTCTGCCCACTAGTGAGGTGGGCTCGGCATCCCAATTAGGTAGCTTCGAAGTAGCCAGCCCCAGCAGTGCATCCCAATGGTCGGGCGGCGGGCCCAATGCTGTGATGTTTATTCCTAGCACCCGGATCACAGTTTCTTTGAACTTCCAGGCCACCGGGGGGTCAGAGGGCGGGGGGCCCGCTTGTGGATCCAGCCACCATCCCTCTGTCTTTGTCCCCCAGTTGACTTTCATATCTGCTGCGATTTCAAATGTGTGTATGGTCTGTGCCAAGGCCTGGAAGCTCCTATGGTTAACTCTGAAGAGCACTGTCAGGTCGTCAGCAAACAGAGATGTAACATGTGTGAGGTGGTAGGGTATTTCAGGCACCTGTAATCTTTGAATGTCGGGGTTTGGCCTGATCATTGTTGCTAGCGCTTCCCTAACCAACACAAAGAGCATCGGGGCAATCGGGTCTCCTTGTCTCACCGACCTCTGAAGGGGGAACGGTGGGGCTAAGTGGCCGTTGAGGAAGACATTAGTTGAGGCTCTTCTGTGAAAGATGTTGATCCATTTACAAAACAATGGACCAAAGTTCATCTTTGTCAGACACATGTCAAGAAAGTCTCAATCTACATGGTCATAGGCCTTTTCAAAGTCTATAAAGAGTATGGTTGCTTCCACCCTCCTCTGCCTTGCGTACCTTATGGTCTCATTGACCAACAAGATATTGTCCTGGATGTTCCGGTAAGGCATGAAGCCTGATTGGTCTGAGTGTATGAGATGAGGGAGCAGGGGCAGCAATCTGATGGCCCATGCCTTAGCCACAATTTGTCGCCTTTTTTGTAGAGTAAGGCGGTTACCCCTTGGCTTATCATATCCCCAAACGTTTCCTCGTGGAAAACTGCATTAACATAAAGCATGAACTCTTCTTCCAGGGTTTCCCAGAAGTGGAGCCAAAATTCTTTTTGAAATGCGTCGATACCAGGTGTCTTTTCATCATTCATGTCCTGCAAGGCTTGGAGGGCTTCATGACGAGAAATAGGCACCTCTAAGCTACTCCTTCGGGGATTGGAAAGCAGCGAGGGGAGGGATGTCAGTAATATGTTTCTTGCCTGCGTGAGGGTCTGTGGTTGTGTTTGGGTTGTTTGTGAAGTAAACAAATTGTTATAGTAAAGAGCAGCATACTCTCGAAGGTCTGTGGTTGTGTTTGGGTTGTTTGTGAAGTAAACAGATTGTTATAGTAAAGAGCAACATACTCCACAATTTTGTACGCATTTGTGGCCAGTGGTTGGTTTGCATCAAACGGATGCTTAAGGGATGAGACCATGCTCTGTATACTATTCGCTTTGGCTTTGTTAAAGAAGGACTTGGTCATCCTCCCATTTGTAGCATCCTTCTTAATCCTTGCCTGGATTCTCCATTTCTGCACCTGCTCATCGAGGTGGTCTTGCAGATGGGTCCTTGCCCTTTGCAATGAATTGAAAGTGTCGAGGTCCAGCGGGTTGTCTGTGAGGCATGCGTCCCATTCCTCCAGCTGCTGCATCAGGCGGTCAAGGACCGCTTTGCGCTCTCTGGCCCTTTGAATGGAGAACTTCTTTACCCTTTGTCTCAACTCTGCCACCCCCACATTGAACCATTGGACAATGGAGTCACACCCTGATTTTTGTGTTGTGCAATAAGCCCAATAGTCTTTGACCAGACTGTCAAGATCGCGGAGTTTAAGCAGGGACGAGTTGAAGTTGTAGTAGCCCAGGCCTCTTGCAATATGAGAGTGGAATGATAAAGCCATCGCGATCATACGGTGGTCAAAAGATTCGTAAGGGGAGAATGGGAGTTCCTCCGCTGCTGTCAGCAAGCCTGCCAGGTCTTTAGAGAGGAGTATGAGGTCGATTCTCGAGTTGGAGATGCCTGCGGCCCCTCTAGACCTGAAACATGTGTACATTCTTCTGGTGGGATGCAGTTGCTTGAACGTGTCAAGAAGGCCGACATCCTCCATCACGTTATTGAGCATAACATTGTTTGGCCCTCTTTCCCTTTGGGGCCTTGGAGCTGTTGATTGTTGGGAAGGGGATCTTCTATCTATGTCCGGGTCTAGTGTGGTGTGGAAGTCCCCACACATGATGATGGGGGCGTCTCTTGGAAGGGACTGTTGCAGGGAGAGAAAGAAATGGACACGTTGGACAGGGTCATTTGGTGCATAGATGTAGACAATGTAGACTGTTTCCATGGCCACGGTGGCCTTGATCCAGACCCATCTCCCATCCGCTTTGTCCCATTCTGTTTGCAGTGGGACTAATCTTGACGACGGCGGGAGCCAGATGGCAACCCCCGTGGAGCCAGCGGAGCATGCTGGGGCAGCAAATTTTACATATGGCCATACTTGCGCCGCTCTGGCTTGGTGTGGGGGGGAGTCTGTGAGGTGGGTCTCCTAAATCCCAATAGCATCGGGCCATTTCCCCGCCATGTCTTGTTTGAGCATCTTCCATAGAGCTGCCTTTTTTTGTTCATTCGGTTATGCCAGGCCATTGACATTGATTGATCTTATGTCCAGATCCGCTTCGGCCAACTTTTTTGCCCAGGGAGGTTGTTTTCTTATTGGCGGTGGGGGGCGAGGTGGGCTGGGGTAGCGGGGCTGGGCCGGAGCCTCGGCCTATCCCGGGGGGGACCCCGGGGACGCTGGCTGTTGGGTTGCTTCGTGTTGTTGTCCCTGATGCAGTCGTAGCCTATTTTCTGGCTGCTGCGAATTTAATGCGCTTTGTTGGCGCGGTTCCATAGATCAATTCTGTTTATTGGCACTTGTGATGCTTAGCTGCTGTCGTTTGTGATTGCCCCTGCAGCAAGGCTGTTGATGAACGGCGGGTCATCCCATTGCCTGTGTTCATCTAACGCCGCCTCTTCCAGCATGCGGAGGAGAAACATGATCTGTTGCTCAACACCCCAAATGTTGTTGGTCCTTAATCTGGATGTGGGGGTGTCCAGCAACTGTTGTTGTGTAAACCATTGGATTTGGTTTGAGGTTTGAGTGTCGTTATTGTCTGTGGCAAACAGAACCAGAACTGGGGTGGCACCTTTGGGGAAGGGGAGGTCATGGGGAAAAACTGTGTCGATGACCCCCTGGTCCCCGTTAAGGTTGAGGTGGTTCCTAAGCATGTGCCTTGTCATCATCTGGGAAGTAGAGCTCCTCCAACCCTCGATTGTGAGGCCCTGCGGCATGTCTTGCGAAGTTCTGATTGCCTTACTGACGAGATTCGGAACCCTAGGGGAGTTGTTTCTGAGCTCGATTTGCCATTCCCCTTCCGGGCGGGTTCGTCTTATTGGGAGGATGACCATGCCAGGCTTTACTGACTCACCGGCATTGGACCGCGCATTATCCATCATAGCATGAGCAAAAGTAGCTCGCTTTCCTTGAGGACGTTCAATTAGAATATTGCCAGGATTTTCCTGGGCATCCAGTGTCTGTGTGTGGCCACCAGTTTCTTGCAGTTGTGATCCTCCCAAGGTCAATCGGGCTTGCTGTGTCCCGCCCATTTGCTCCTGTGCTTGGTTTGGGGAGTTTAGCAGTCTCATGTCTGTGCCGTTCCTGTTGCCCACAGCCTATTGTGGGAAACCAGGCTGGGCATCATCGTGGCCACCTGTGTCTGGGCCTTGGGGCAGGAGGAGGTCCACACTCTCCGTGGTTGGTAGCAAGGAGTCCCATTCGAACTCCGATTCTGAATCAGAAGTGCCGGATGAATCTCCTTGCCGCTCGCTGACAGTATCGGGACCGGGATGTGGGACCAATTCGCCGGGGGTCTGCAGTGCCATATGTGGGGAGCAGGGAACAATCTGCAGGTGCAACAGAGGGAGAAGCAAATGTGATGGCACTAGATTGTCCGCTGTGTCCGCATCTGCCTTCATAAGTGCACCCTCCCCTCGGGTGTGGCAAATCACAGTCTCCAGTTCTTGGATTATGACCTCCGGCCATTCATGTCCTTCATGAGTGGTGATGGCCGGAGGTTGGCCTGCTGGCACAAGAGCTGATCCGTCCATGTGATTGACTTGAGTGGGGTAGGAGCGTTGTATCTTGTGAAGGAGGGAACGGACTGCCTCCATCACGAGGGTGGCCACAACCTTCCAGTCTATGGGGGCCGGGTCGGTAGCTGTAGCATATCAGAAAGTGAAATGCACTGAGAGCCTAGGATCTACCAATGACGAAAGTGGCAACAACCAGCAGCATAGGTGCAACATTCACAAGATGTCAATGTGCACGGTGCAAAGGGTGAACCAACGAGAAATCAACAACACACATTCGTATCATTATCATCATGGGCTGGGAAGCAGCGCAGCGGAAGATTTAGTATCAAAGGACACGTGGACAACAACATGAAAAGGAGAAAACTTCGAAGGGCAAGACATAAGAAAGATTGCCCTTCCGCTCACACACATGGGGAAAGATCCATAGACATGCGAGAGAGAAGGGGGAGGGACGGAGGTAACCAAGTCCAACCCAAGTCTGATCTCCGAATGTCGCACACAGTTCAATCCCAATGTAGAGTGCAAGTCCGACCTGAATGTCGTGTCCAATAGGGCAGAATGCTGTGTCCAAACAATGTCTGCAGTTACCTCTATCTCTACTCTGAGAAGAAGAAGAAGAAGAAGAAGAAGAAGAAGGAGAAGCAGAAGAAGAAGAAGAACTTCGGAGGAGTAGGAGGAGAAGAGGAGAGGA